AGGCTCACGCCTCCCCAGTTTTCTGTCCCTCTTCCCTCTGCACACGCACCCATGCAGAGCCCCCTCCCCAGAGTGCCCCACCACCTTTCACCCCCCCCATGTCCACCCCTAATCCCAGCATCCTTTTCTACAAACACTCCACTCTCCCGCTCCCTGCCCCCAGCTTGAGCCCACACCCTCACTTGGTCAGGCCGAGGGATGGAGAAGCAGGGTGGACCAGGGCCTCGCCCAGCTGCCCACCCCATCCCTGGGTGGCCCCGGCTTCTTCCTCACCCACCATCTGTCCTCACTTGTCCTCCCCTCACCCTTCTTTCCGGCTCTGCCTCTCTTCCCACCCTCTCTTCCCACTGTTTCCAGTCTCAATTTCACTCGCTGGGAAACCACCCTGGAGCCCCTTTATTCAGACTCATTTGTCTGAGCCCTAAGGTCTCCCGCTACACTCCCACAGGCCCTCGGGAGCCTACTCACTCTGTTCCAAGGACACAGCCATCAATCTGCAGCAGACACGGGTCTCCCTCTCTCCTCCTGGAATCCCCGCTCGCTCGCTGGCTGGCTCCAGAACAGATTGCCTACTCGGCTCTGCCCCTCCCCCGGCTCTCCTCTTCCAGGTCTCCTGGATCCCAGGCCAGCATCTTCTGTGGTTTCCCGTCCTGTGGTCCCTGTGCCCCTTCTTTTACCCCCAAGGGGAATCTGAAAGAGGATGCTTAGAAGAAAGTTCACAGAATCTGAATGCTGCTTTCTGAAACTCAGCTGGTGCTGAGGCTGCCCGGGTTTGTGGCTTCCGCCAGAGACAGGTCTTCCCCTCCCTCCCCATTCCCTCCCGCTCTCTCCCCCTCCCTGCATCCCTCCCCCTCCTCTCTCCCTTTTTCGCTACCCCTTTTTTTTTCCTCGAGGGCCAGGTAATGACGTTTCACTGTCTCTTAGCAACTGCCTCCACATCTCTGAGCAACAGGAGAACTGGCTATAGACCCCACCAAGATGAGAGAGGAGAGAACGAAGTACTCAGGCAGAATTCACAGCCACCCACAGGATCCTAGTGATGGGGCAAAGGGAAGAAAGGGAGCGGAGGGAGGGTAGGCAGCCTGGGGACAGGGGCAGGGGAGAGGAGCAGACTGGGAGAGAGGACAAAAGGCCCCAGGGAGAAGTCAGAGTAGGGGCCACGGATGAATTCAGAATCCAAGACGGACGAGGTAGACCCCAAAGGGAAAATGGAGAGAGCTTGGAATGGAGCAGGGGAAAGCAAAAGGGTGGTTGAAACTGAAGACATAAATAAGAATGGGAAGAAAGTAGAGAAATGTAGGTGGTACTCAATGTTCACTGGACGGGAGCTGTCTCTTGAGTTGCTATGTGACATCTGTTTCTCTGGGTCTGAATGTATTGTGGTCTCCAGGACCAGGTGATGGGCTGAAGGCTTTTCTTGAGGAAACCTATTTTTTTTCCTTGATTGTCCCTAAATCCTGACCCCATGAGCTCTCTGTGGGATATGACCTTTGTGTGGCATAGACCAGTTTCTCCTTGGCTTGAGATTGCAGGATCCTTGGGAAGCAAAGGACCAACTGCCTGGTTCAGGTTGGGGGTACCTGGACATGTCTCTAGGGGACTGAAGGCTACCAACAACCTCACGGTCCTTTCTTCTTTCTGCAGTCCCCAGGGATTCCTTCTGTTGTCCTGCTCCCTCCAAGCTTCCCGTTCCCCTCCCCCATCTCCAGATTGGCTTCATATGAGGGTGGTATTTTCGTAAATGCCTCTTTTCCTCCGATCTGTTGAACAAGTCTTTTGCTGTCCTGTATTTTAACAACTGGCTAGTGGGTTTGATCAAAGAGTGGGCTCATTTTTTGTGAACACTCACTGTGTGTTGGGCAATTGGCCAGATGATGGGGTTATAGCTGCTAAGAAGATGGCTGTGGACAAATCCACTATGGCGCTGACACTGCCTCTGGTTGCCAGTCAGCTGACCTGGGGCCTCTTTCATTTAAGTAATACGTGAAGTCTTTATTGTGGGGGGAGCCCAAATAGAGTCATAGAATTTAACAAGCAGGAATTTCCACAGTTTCTGGAAATTTCCAGCGTTCTCAAATTCCTCTCCCTGTTTGGTTCTAGAAAACTGCTCCTCTGGCCCTTCTTTCTCATGTTATGGGAAATTTGACCTTTCATGTTCTACAGTGTCTAGTGCAGAGTAACCTGGTAGCCTCTGCATCAATATTCACCTACTGAATTGACTGAGGAAAAAATGCCATTTGCTTCCCCTCCCCCATTAGAGAAAGGAAAGGAGCGAATTTAGAAATAAAATCTTTCATCACATTGAAACAATGAATCCAACTGTAACTGAAGACTGTTGGCCTCAGAAAAGTAAAGTGAGCATCTTTCTTTTACTAACTGAAAGATGCTAGAAAACACTTGTTTCAGTGGAGACAAATTATGAAAGATAATTATGAAAAGTGTTCAGTACAATTCAATTTTTAATGTTGACTAAAACAAATAAGAAAGAAAGGTGATTTTCTTCCTTTACATGATACTAAGTTCATATTTACAATTAAAACCAATACTATGCCTGAAGAAAAATACATTAGTGACAGTTTCCTTAAGGAATAGGATCTAGGCAAGAATATCTCATTGTCATGTGAAACTTCCTTTTTTGTACCTGTGAAATGGGATAGTAATAATGGCACCTAACTCATGGGGTTATTTCAGGCACAAGCAGTTATTAATAAAGCTACTCTGAGCAGTACATAGTGAGGACTACAGATAGGTTTGCTAAATCACAAAAAAGTAAAATGAATAGCAGAGGACAGAATTGCTGAAATAGTTATGCATAAAGGAAAACCAATAAATTGTACCAAATGGCCAGAGAGGAGAAAAGGGAATGAGAAAAGGAAAATATCACATTTGCAGATGATTTTAATGCGTTCTTGTGCGAGATAAGTTGCCAAACCTACAGGAAGCCCTGATTCAAGAACATTATGATTGCATATAATATCCCCTGTAAAAGGGAGATTCAACGAGGTAGAAATGTTTTAAATGACTTTCTACTTTTAATCATTCTATGACTCATAGAAGGATTCTATGAATCCCAAAGTGGTGTTTCACGGTATACTATGTGCCATGAGAAAGATGAATGTTCTCAAATAAGTTTGAGAAGCAGTGAATTAAACAAAACAAAGCAAACTTACTCCTTGGAAGATTTCTCAGGGGCTTTAAAGTGTGAATGGTCACAAAGCAAATCATTAACGAGAGCATCGGGAAATGAAGGAAATGAAAAACAGCTTTTCCTAAGCTCATTTTGGATCTCTGTTTTTCTTTCTTCTCTTCTTTTTCCATTTTCCCTTTTCTTTCCCCTGATTTTACTTCTTCTCCTCTTCTTGCTTCTGTTTATCAGAGCTATTAATATTGGGAATAGTTTCTAGTGGGCCATGGTTTGGGAAATATTGAACTCAGCTTAGACTATCCCTTGCTCAAACGTCTTAAGTGTAGCTACTGTAGAGGTCATTTTTTTTTTAATACTCAGCAAAGAGAATAATTACATGTGTAAATATCAACAAATCTACACCGAGACACTGGACTGGTTGGCCACTTCCCTTTGTAAAGTGGCTTTCTCCTCCTATACAGTAGTCTTGCAGGAGAATGGAAAAGAGTGAATTAGTTTTGAATCCTAGTGAAGTGGCTTCCTTTTGAATCCTAGCAAAGTAATGAATTATGAGATTTCATGACTTTTCAGGGATCCATCCTTCCTTCTTTCTTTCATACTGAGAATTGAACCTAGAGGTGCTTTAACATTGAGCTACATCCCCAACCATTTTTATTTTTTATTTTAAGACAGGGTCTTTCTAAGTTGCTTAGGGTCTTGCTAAGTTGCTGAGTCTGGCCTCAAATTTGTGGTCCTCCTGCCTCAGCCTACCCAGCCACTGGAATTATAGGCATGCACTACTGTGCCCAGTGTTTAGGGTCTCTTTCAAATTAAGGACACTGCAACTTTCAAGTATATACCACTTTGGGAATGTGCACATAAACTAATCAGCGAGTTGTAGAAAATGAAATGAGTTGAAATATCATTTTCATTATTATGCTTTCCTGAACACATGGTAAATTAGTCGTAACAGTGACAGAATACCTTTGATGACACGAGAATGAATTTAATCTGCCACAGAAGAAATTTATTCAGGGAAAATTATGAAACCTTAGTTGAGTGAACATAGAGGAAGAAATGGAAAGCTGATCTCTACTCTTATTGGGAAGGATTAAGAATGGGAAAAATAACTCTCTTTCCACATTATCGTAACTTAATGAGGCCTTTAGTAGAATCTGGTGAACTAGTAGTGAAAACCATCTGGGGGAAACCCAGGGATGTGTAGCTGGTGTTAACAAGGTGCTGCTGCTGCTGCTGCTTCTGTTGGGAGATGCTTGAGAGTAAAGATGGTAGATTCATCTAACAAAAAGATTACAAACTGTATCACAGTCTGAAAAATCACTCAATGGCCTTATTCAATACTTAGGTTTTGAAAAATGACCATGGATACACTGTGCATTCCCCACGTCATTCCCCCTCTCAGAAGACAGAACTTGAAAAAAAAAATAGGGAAATAAAACAACATTGAAAGTAATCTCGGAGTAAGACACATTATGAAGTTCCATATTTCATTTTCTCCACATTGTAAAAATTCCAAACGGTCCAAAGAAAGAAAGAAGACACAATAACAGAAAACTCACCAGGCAGAGAACAGAGCAGCACATTCATCCAAGCAGGGCAGAGAAGATGTCTTTCCGATGTTGGTGAAATGGACAGTGTGAAATGGTCAACATCTCTAGATGGCTCTTGTCAAACACAACACTAAGAGACAACAGGGTTTTACTGGGCAAGAAGTGATGAATTAAGAGAGAAAGGAAAGAAAGGCGATGCAAAAATGGATGTATACTTAAGTATCTGAAATAATGCATGCAAAATATATAGAGAAATGCCACAAATGTAATTCTTACCAGAAGGGTCAGAAGAGGAGAGGTAAAGATGGAAGCAGAGGTTGAAGGTGTTACTTTGCTGGATTTGGAGGCAGAGGCAGGGGACGGGGCATGTGGGCAATCTCTAGAACTGGGACAACCCAGAAACAGCTTTGAGGTTTTTGATCTCCAGAACTGTGAGATGGTAAGTTTATTGTTAAAGTGTTTCAGTTTGTGGCTATGTGTGACAGTGGCAATAGGAAACTAATACAGTCCTCAAGATGACCACCTGCTTGTTGAGTTTGGGTCGAACCTGTGAATATGCTGGGGTGTCATTCCTCTGATTAGGCTACACATGAGTTGACTTCATGCTAGTCGGAACAGAAACTACCCAGGTGGGCCTTATGTAATTTGGTGAGCCTCTAAAGGGGCATAGCCTTCCAATGCGATTCTACAATATGTATAATCAGAAAAATGAGAAATTATGTCCCATCTATGTATGATATATCAAAGCATATAAGTGCTTTCTACTGTCGTGTATAACTAATTAAAATAAATTAAAAATTTTTTAAAAAAAGAATTAGAAAGAGAAAGAAAAACAGCTAATTAGAACCGGAGCCAGCATTTGAGCTGTGCATGGAACAGAGTAGATATTCAACACTTTTCTTTTTTAATTATAGAGGTAATGAATAGTCCCCCCCGAAAAAAAGGGCATGGCCTTTCTGAAGAGGTATTTGACTCAAGGGATATCCTCCTTAGCTAGCACATGGGAAGGACTCAAGTTCTTTTCAAGAGTGACCTCTATTTGCTAAGATTGATGATCCCTGGCCAATGGTTAGTAAGAAAACGGGAACCTTGTTTCTACAACTGCAAGGATCTGAACTC